GGTGGTCTGTATTTTCGGTCTTACCATAGAGGAAGAGCATTGGGTATGTTCAGCTGGCTTTAAAGAAAGGCAGACAGAAATAAGCTGTAATAAGTCTCCAATCAAGAGCCCTACTAAACTAGGTCTTGGCTAACACAGGAGCAACAAAATGGCAGAAGAGGGCAAAATGGGAGTTTGAAAGAAATGCACAAGAGGCTGGGCTTATTCCCTAGGATGCCCAGGATCAAAGCTGGCCATGGCAGAAGTAGTACAACTCCCACTGAATTTGATGTAAGCTGTATCCGCTACCCCCACATATGAATTGCACCCAGTATCTTCTGAGTGCTAGACAGCCCGGAATCCAGGCAGTGGAGGTACTGATATTGTTAAAATGTTTTTTGTATCACTACTATCAAGTTCAATACAGGGGTTGATTTAGCTCCCCAACTCAGATCTGGGCCACATCTGAACAGAGACCAGCCAGCTTCCAGTGCATCAGTCCGATTGCAAACCCATAATACCCCAGTGCTAAAGCAACACTTACTATTTATATATCCCTGTTCCCTTACAAATAGTTCTGGGTGCTAACGTTGTTGCTACTAAGACAATGGGCTGGGACAGTGTAATCAGCTCTTGGCAGCCCTGCAATACGCACTACCAGCTGTGGAAAGTGGGTTGGTAAAGCCGGCTAGCTTGCTCTGCTTTCAGCCACTGCGTAGGAAAGCTCCAAGGGCCCAATGGTTGTGCCTTTTGAGGCCAGGCTGAGCTGAGCTGAGCTGAGCCTTGGTCATGCCTGGAAAAGTCTATTGCTGCAAACACTGTGCCTGATGTTCCCTGATTAACTTCTGGGTCCACTTCCAATACTGAGAGTAATTCTAAAAAACACCCAAAGGCACGAATACCCTTAGGCGTAAGAAGCAGAATTGACAATTAAATAAAAACCAGCTTTATCAGGAGTCCTTCAGTTCAATAGTAATAAAATCCTTCAGGCCTAACCTCAACCATATGCCCCATATGCCTGCCAGACTTGTCTGCCATTATTTCTTGTGGCTACATTAGCAAAGCTGAAACTGATGTATTTCGTCTTCACCTCTAGTGCCATGGAGGACTCCTGCAACATGCCTCTGCTCTCCAAGGACACTGCAGTAACAAAACTGGCATTGTATTACCTAAATAAAAGCTGTATTTTGGATGCACAGACTATTTGGTGCTAGAGGCAAATGAAAACAATTAAAAACTCAGGGTACACCTAATAATGTAATAGTCTTTTGGGTTAACTAATTGGTTTGGTAGTGTCAGCTTTTATTGCTTTTATTCTCCTCTTTCACATGTCTGGTGTTGTGTTTCTTTTCAGATCACATACAGGCAAAAGTTTTCCAAATCATCTTTTTAACAATAGGAGGAGCCTTATTCAGCTAGTTGCTGCATTCCTTGTAGAAGGTACAAAGTACAAAGCCCCTTCAAACTAACTGAGGGAAGCCCAGGAGTTGTCAGCACCTTTCAGGATTCTCCATCCTTCCTGGCTGATGGTGTTGGTGCATCTATAGCTGACTGTCTGAAGAAGCTGTGTAAGTTACTATGGAATATTATACCTTGATAGTCATTTTGATATTGTTAGTGTTTCATCAAAAAGTGTGGATAATAGTAATGTAACAGAGTAAAGAAATCTGTATATAATGATAAGACTATATACGGAGTTAAGATGGCACTTTTGATGATATGGGATGCTCAACTTGGAGGAGTTGGCAACACACTGAAAAATGAGAAACCAAAGGTTCTGAGTATTTTTGGCACTGCTAACAAAGTAAAGTAGAGCTTGACTTACTTCTCTCTTATTCCCTGAGCTAACTGGCCTATGTTTTAAGATGGAGTAAAATATGAAGCAAATTATATCTATCTACAGCGAAGGTTCAAAAGCTGCATGGGAAGGTTTCTGTTAATGCTGGTAGGTGGTATTTGTACAAACTGTGGCACAGTGGGCTGAGGCTCCTGGTATAGAATCACCGAATCATTAAGGTTGGAAGAGACCTCTAAGATCACCAAGTCCAACCGTCAGCCTAACACCACTGTGCCCACTAAATCATGTCCTGAAATGCCATATCCATACGCTTCTTGAACACCTCCAGGGATGGTGACTCCATCACCTCCCTGGGCAGCCTGTTCCAGTGTATGACTACTCTTTCAGAAAATACATTTTTCCTAATATGCACTCTAAACCTCCCCTGACACAACTTGAAGCTATTAAAGCTTGTGCAACAGTATTGTGTGCATGACTGTATGAGAGGGAAATCAACCCTCAGCTGTGGGTTGCTGAATACATTTTCTGATATCCACAAAGCTTTCAGAGAGGAGCCAAATCCCCCCCATTTTCCACCTGTGCCAAAAAGTCACTTTATGGACTTGAGCACAGATATCTGATAGTCCCGTTACTGGGACTTTCAAGTGTGGCCATTCCTAACTATAAAGCTGAGACTGCTCTTGCTATATTTTCTGAGAATCTTCAACTTTGCAAGTGACGTGGGTGTGATAATTTTAGGACAAAGACAGGCACCCAGCACCTAAGAACATAGTAGTCACATCAGTTCACAGGGATGGAGGCATGGTGATAGGTACTTAGAATTAAACTCGGTGTCTAATGTCCATCTGAAGTGGACAGGATTTCATTTCTACAAATCTCAGAACAATGTAGTAAAGCAAATCCTCATCTGTTTAATGCCTTTGAAAGAGTTTTTGGAGAAGTTACACTACTTAACGGAAGGCAGCCTTGGCTGTACTCTTTTATTTGCAGCCACCTCTTCTGCATGTGGTCTAACCTGCAAAGGACCTTTAAGCAGTCTACCCTGCTCTTATCATTTGGGGCACAAGTAGCACACACACAACTGAGTGAGAAAGGGCAACAACAATAACAGTGATATCAGGCAAGAAATGATGCTCTGTGTAATTTCCATCATAGAAAAAAGGGACCTCAAGCAAATCACGGAGTTCAGGGGCGTATTAAGAGCTATATAGAAGGGAATCTGCAGGCTAAGAGTGGGAAGAGAATTGTTTTTTTTCCTCTTGATGTCACCATATTGAAAAGGTAATAGAGACGCTAAGGAGCAGAAGATGTCAAGAAACAAAAAAGCAATTTCTAGAAGCCAAAGTAAAGATTCAGTAGGATAAAGACTGAAGGATCCCTAAAGCATGTTTGAAAAGCTCCTCAGAATACTGTTGCATGCATGTATTTCATTTTAAATACCTTCAGTGTTTCCAGAGCACCAACATTTAAACAGGCACATTGCTCAAGCTGCTGCTAACCTGTGTGTCATTAAAGCCCCTACAGACACAAAAGTGAAAGGCACGGCTTGTGCCCATCATGAATTCAGGATCCCATGTAAGGGAGTCTCTGGGAAAGAAGACAGTTTTTTTTTTCAATGGAGAAATACTTAAAAACTCAGAGACCATGGCACCGAATAAGGTGACTGGTAGTTGTCTCCAACTGGTGGCTGTTTGCAAAGAACATACCACCTCCAGATGAGGACGGCGAGCATCATAGTGTCTTGAGCCTCCATACTGACTCACATGTCAAACTTGGTGTCTGATCTTGCCATCAGGTCAAGGAAATAGTTTTTAACAGGTTGTGTTTATGGGTTTTATAAAATCCTGATTACAGCATGAGTGCTTTGGAAGCTAGGGGAGCATAACTTTCGCACTCCAGGAGAACCAGCTTCAATGATTCAACGGCAATATGTAACAGTCAATATCATATAATGTTTATACTGTAATGCAATCCATTCTGAAATTCTGAGCAGGGATGACTTGGCTCTTCAGAGCTGCAAAGACAGGAGCAAAAATATGAGCAAAAAGGCTGCAGACTGTACAGTCATGGTAGTGTCAAAGCCCCTTGAATATCCATGGCTTAGAATATTATGTGGATAGATAAAGGTTTGGAAAAAAAAACAATAAAATGTGTTAATAAATAGACTGAAATGAAAGTTTCAGTAGAAAAATAATGAGATAGCAATCCCACCTCATCTCTGTGGAACACTGGAGATGGAGGACCATGTAGAGAGGTTTGAGTTCCCTGGGGTTTTTGGCTGCTTTGCTGACACCTATAATGGCTATCCAGAGAACCAGCACCTACAAATGCCTGAAGGGGAGCTCCATTAGGTTTTTATATAATGTATTTAATCAATATATCCAAGGAGGCTTCTTGACTGATGGTTAAGTATGTTTCAGTAGTTACAGAAGCCTGACTGCCACTGAGATGATGGTACAGACAGGCACATTATCAGCACTGTTGACAGTAGTAATTTTTTTACACCACAGAATGCACTGAAGATGAGGAGTTCATCTCCTTCAGAGGATCCAGTCTTTGCTAGGAAGTCCAAACTGATTTTTTCCCGACATTAGAGAAGTGAAATTTCCTTGCCGATAATTTTTTTTTCACTTTCTAACAAAACTTCTTCCATTCATAGGGAGGAATCTATTTTTGCAAGACAGAATCCAACCTTTATGTTTTGGAGAACTTTGGTTTGGCTTGATCTGGGGGACATTTAAGCAACTGTATGCACAGTATTGTTTTTGCTTTGCCAGTCAGAGTTGTCTCGGTCAATGGAGTGGTACAATGGCAGCCTTCTAATTTTGCCTGGTAGTTCTAGGTTTGAATAGATGAGAGGAAATCTGTAGTTGAGACTTTGGCTCCAAGATGTGACAGAGTATCTTCATATTTCTCAAGAAAACAAATGGTCAGATGCTTATGTTGTCTTCCATGACAATCTATAATGGCATTTTCTCACTGAGGAAATATGGCTTGTCAGTGAAGCTCTTAGGAGACCACTTGCAGCAGTTGGTTGTTGGTGATGGATGTCCGCTAAGATGTTTCCTTGATTGATGCTGACATTTCGATAACAAAAAGTTACCCATGAAGAATGCCATATTTGTTGGAAATTTGTCCATTGGTCTGTTAGCCTTCTCCCATGAGGAAGAGGGTGGTAGGTGTTGGACTTGATGATCTTAAAGGTCTTTTCCAACCAAATGATTCTATGATGTTTACTTCTTGTTTTTTTCAGCTCATTGCAGGAAGGATGCCTCTGAGA